TCCCCCCCCGCCCCCCCCGGCCCCAAGCCCCCCCCCCGCCACATGCCCCAGAACAAGCAGAGCTTTCAGTACCGCATGTGGCAGTTCGTGGTGTCGCCGCCCTTCGAGTACACCATCATGGCCATGATCGCCCTCAACACCATCGTCCTCATGATGAAGGTGGGTGGCCCCTGGCCCTACCGGGCCCCCCCCCAGCCAGCGGGGAGCACGGACGGGGGGTGGGCGCGGGCACGGCGTAGAACAGACTGGCCAGCCAGGACCCAGGAGGATCCATCGCTGCCCCCCCAGCCGGCAGGGAGCACGGACGGGGGTGGGCGCGGGCACGGCGTAGAACAGACTGGCCAGCCAGGACCCAGGAGGATCCATCGCTGCCCCCCCAGCCGGCAGGGAGCACGGACGGGGGTGGGCGCGGGCACGGCGTAGAACAGACTGGCCAGCCAGGACCCAGGAGGATCCATCGCTGCCCCCCCAGCCGGCAGGGAGCACGGACGGGGGTGGGCGCGGGCACGGCGTAGAACAGACTGGCCAGCCAGGACCCAGGAGGATCCATCGCTGCCCCCCCAGCCGGCAGGGAGCACGGACGGGGGTGGGCGCGGGCACGGCGTAGAACAGACTGGCCAGCCAGGACCCAGGAGGATCCATCGCTGCCCCCCCAGCCGGCAGGGAGCACGGACGGGGGTGGGCGCGGGCACGGCGTAGAACAGACTGGCCAGCCAGGACCCAGGAGGATCCATCGCTGCCCCCCCAGCCGGCAGGGAGCACGGACGGGGGTGGGCGCGGGCACGGCGTAGAACAGACTGGCCAGCCAGGACCCAGGAGGATCCATCGCTGCCCCCCCAGCCGGCAGGGAGCACGGACGGGGGTGGGCGCGGGCACGGCGTAGAACAGACTGGCCAGCCAGGACCCGGGAGGATCCATCGCTGCCCCCCCAGCCGGCAGGGAGCACGGGCGGGGGGGGGCGCGGGCACGGCGTAGAACAGACTGGCCAGCCAGGACCCGGGAGGATCCATCGCTGCCCCCCCAGCCGGCAGGGAGCACGGGCGGGGGGGGGCGCGGGCACGGCGTAGAACAGACTGGCCAGCCAGGACCCGGGAGGATCCATCGCTGCCCCCCCAGCCGGCAGGGAGCACGGGCGGGGGGGGGCGCGGGCACGGCGTAGAACAGACTGGCCAGCCAGGACCCGGGAGGATCCATCGCTGCCCCCCCAGCCGGCAGGGAGCACGGGCGGGGGGGGGCGCGGGCACGGCGTAGAACAGACTGGCCAGCCAGGACCCGGGAGGATCCATCGCTGCCCCCCCAGCCGGCAGGGAGCACGGGCGGGGGGGGGCGCGGGCACGGCGTAGAACAGACTGGCCAGCCAGGACCCGGGAGGATCCATCGCTGCCCCCCCAGCCGGCAGGGAGCACGGGCGGGGGGGGGCGCGGGCACGGCGTAGAACAGACTGGCCAGCCAGGACCCGGGAGGATCCATCGCTGCCCCCCCAGCCGGCAGGGAGCACGGGCGGGGGGGGGCGCGGGCACGGCGTAGAACAGACTGGCCAGCCAGGACCCGGGAGGATCCATCGCTGCCCCCCCAGCCGGCAGGGAGCACGGGCGGGGGGGGGCGCGGGCACGGCGTAGAACAGACTGGCCAGCCAGGACCCGGGAGGATCCATCGCTGCCCCCCCAGCCGGCAGGGAGCACGGGCCCCGGGCCGCCCCCTGCTCCCAGGCTCAGGTCACAGAGAGCATCAGCCCCTGGGTCTGTGGGGAAGGCTGTCGCCGCAAAATTCCCGTCCTCATCTAGGTGTTGGGGCTGTGCCCAGGGAAACTGAGGCACGCACGGAGCTACTACCGGACAGTAGAATTCACATGCCGCAGAACCCGGGGACTCCACCCCCGGGTCACCCCACCGTGGGGGCCGGGGCAGTTCCGAGCAGGCTCCGAGATGCTCCCCCGTAGGTGGCATGTCCCCACCCAACGGCTGATCTGTGGGCTGGGGACCCTGCCTGCCCGGGGTTGATCTGACGCTCTCCCCTCCCTTGCCGGTAGTTCGACAAGGCCTCGAGCGCCTACGAGGACGTGCTCAAGATGTTCAACCACGTCTTCACGTCCCTGTTCTCCCTGGAGTGTCTGCTGAAGATCATGGCCTTCGGAGTGCTGGTAAGTGTCTCCGCAGCCAGGTCCCGCGGGGCGGAGGGCTGCCCGTCAGCAGCAGGGGGTTCCCCACCGGCTCCTCCCGCCCCTGCCCCCTCCCGCCTCCCCGGCGGGGGGCCTCTTCTGCTCACGTCCTGGGAGCGAGCTCGGGACACCTGCCGCCGAGTGAGGGGGTGGTGGCGTCTAAGCATCTGCAGGCGCTCGGGAAGGTGCCCCTCGCTCGGAGGGGTGGGGCTGTTCTGGGTGATTCAGGGAGCTGTAGGGAGCAAAACTGAGAGGGGCCATGAGAGAAACGTGCCACCGCCCACGAGCATTGTGTCTCCCAGGGGCAGGCTCCGCTCGGGGTTTGGTGGAGATCCTGGGAGTCCCACCAGCGCCCCCTGTAGGCCGGGCGCTCCGGCCGCTCGGGAGGGATCCAGCGCTGCCCCGCTGATTAGCAGAGCGCCCCCTGCTGGGGCACACCCTCCTGCCTCGGCGCAGTACAGAGTGTATCCTGCACATGGATGGGAAAGGTTAGCGGGCCCGTTGGCTCCCACCTTTGCCGCAGGTCTCGGGGCAAGGACCCGCTCCGTCCCGCAGAAGGGGCTGGGTTCCCGTTCAGTCAGGAGCCAAGCGCGAGGGGCACTCGGCAAGAGGCCGGTTTGGAGGCACAGCCCAGTCTGGCCGAGCGGGGAGAGCAGCCCCTGATAGTTGGCCAAAGGAGGAAAGAGGCTGAGTCTCCCCCAGAAAATGTTGCTGATTTTTGCTCCTGCCCCGTTCCCTGGTTTGAACTGGGCTGTTTTCTCATAATTCCTCGTCTTGGCTGGGCTGGGTTCATTTCTCGCGGGGCCGGGGGGCTCTGGCGGGGTGGCAGAGGGCCGTGATCTCATCTCCCCCTCGGGGAATCCAGCTGGCACCTGTTTCCGTCCCTTGGCCGGGACAGTCCTGGCCCCAGTGGCACATTCTGGTCCTGTGTGTTTTCTTCTTTCATTTTGAATGTCCAGCTGAGTGTCCATTCCCGTTGGGCCTGGCGTGGCAGAGGGCGCATCCCCCTGCTGTTAGCTTGTCCACACTGCGCGCCGGGGGTCCTGCTCGCAGGTCAGGCCTGATCCGGAGCCCATCAGCGGGCTGAGCTCAGTGGAGGTTGGGTCAGGTCCTCACCCCCACGCGTCCCCCGCTCAGCGCTCACCGAGCTCAGCAGCTGGCCCCGATCACACCAGCCACCCGGCATCATTCCCGGGGCCACAAAACACGCCCCCAGCCCCGCGCCTTTAAATGAACCCTTTCGCCACCCACTCCCCCTCGTGGGGGCAGGGCCGGGGGGCTGGCGGGGACAGGGCTGGGCCGGGGGTGACTCTCTGTTCTCTGTGGCTTCCGTGGTGAGTCTTGTGGAACGTTTGCTGCTGTGTTTGCTGTTCCTTTTCGTCCTTTGTTTTTGTTTTTCTTTATAGAATTATTTCCGTGATGCCTGGAATATCTTTGATTTTGTCACAGTTCTGGGTAGCATCACAGACATCTTAGTGACAGAGTTTGGGGTAAGTCGGAAACGCCGCCGCCTCTCTTCTGGCTGTAGCTGGGCAGAGGGGGAGGCTTGCCCCGGGGGGCACCGGGCCGTGATGCCAGCAGACCTGGCCCCGGGGAAGGACTAGGGAGACAGCTGGGTGGGAGCTACAGGCAGTGGCCTCCCAGATAGCTGCTGTGGGGACACGGGAGCCAGCCATGCCCTGGCGGAGAAGGCCCACGGACGAATCCAGGCCCCAAGCCGAGGCAGACGGAGTCAAAACCAAACCCAGCGCGGTGCCCTGCCCACCAGAAATAGATTCAGGGATGGCCGGCTTCAGAGCTTATCAGCCACATCCCATGTCACTCCACCGGGGAGGGGATGCCTGGGTAAATCCAGAGCCACTCCACCAGGGGAATGCATGCCAGGATAAATCCAGAGTCACTCCACCAGGGGAATGCATGCCAGGAAGAACTGCCCAGCCACATCCCATGTCACTCCACCGGGGAGGGGATGCCTGGGTAAATCCAGAGCCACTCCACCAGGGGAATGCATGCCAGGGTAAATCCAGAGCCACTCCACCAGGGGAATCCATGCCAGGATAAATCCAGAGTCACTCCACCAGGGGAATGCATGCCAGGGTAAATCCAGAGTCACTCCACCAGGGGAATGCATGCCAGGGTAAATCCAGAGCCACTCCACCAGGGGAATGCATGCCAGGATAAATCCAGAGTCACTCCACCAGGGGAATGCATGCCAGGATAAATCCAGAGTCACTCCACCAGGGCAATGCATGCCAGGGTAAACCCAGAGTCGGTAAATCCAGAGTCACTCCACCAGGGGAATCCATGCCAGGATAAATCCAGAGTCACTCCACCAGGGGAATGCATGCCAGGGTAAATCCAGAGTCACTCCACCAGGGGAATCCATGCCAGGATAAATCCAGAGTCACTCCACCAGGGGAATGCATGCCAGGGTAAATCCAGAGTCACTCCACCAGGGGAATCCATGCCAGGATAAATCCAGAGTCACTCCACCAGGGGAATGCATGCCAGGGTAAATCCAGAGTCACTCCACCAGGGGAATCCATGCCAGGATAAATCCAGAGTCACTCCACCAGGGGAATGCATGCCAGGGTAAATCCAGAGTCACTCCACCAGGGGAATCCATGCCAGGATAAATCCAGAGTCACTCCACCAGGGGAATGCATGCCAGGGTAAATCCAGAGTCACTCCACCAGGGGAATCCATGCCAGGATAAATCCAGAGTCACTCCACCAGGGGAATGCATGCCAGGGTAAATCCAGAGTCACTCCACCAGGGGAATCCATGCCAGGATAAATCCAGAGTCACTCCACCAGGGGAATGCATGCCAGGGTAAATCCAGAGTCACTCCACCAGGGGAATCCATGCCAGGATAAATCCAGAGTCACTCCACCAGGGGAATGCATGCCAGGGTAAATCCAGAGTCACTCCACCAGGGGAATCCATGCCAGGATAAATCCAGAGTCACTCCACCAGGGGAATGCATGCCAGGGTAAATCCAGAGTCACTCCACCAGGGGAATCCATGCCAGGATAAATCCAGAGTCACTCCACCAGGGGAATGCATGCCAGGGTAAATCCAGAGTCACTCCACCAGGGGAATCCATGCCAGGATAAATCCAGAGTCACTCCACCAGGGGAATGCATGCCAGGGTAAATCCAGAGTCACTCCACCAGGGGAATCCATGCCAGGATAAATCCAGAGTCACTCCACCAGGGGAATGCATGCCAGGGTAAATCCAGAGTCACTCCACCAGGGGAATCCATGCCAGGATAAATCCAGAGTCACTCCACCAGGGGAATGCATGCCAGGGTAAATCCAGAGTCACTCCACCAGGGGAATCCATGCCAGGATAAATCCAGAGTCACTCCACCAGGGGAATGCATGCCAGGGTAAATCCAGAGTCACTCCACCAGGGGAATCCATGCCAGGATAAATCCAGAGTCACTCCACCAGGGGAATGCATGCCAGGGTAAATCCAGAGTCACTCCACCAGGGGAATCCATGCCAGGATAAATCCAGAGTCACTCCACCAGGGGAATGCATGCCAGGGTAAATCCAGAGTCACTCCACCAGGGGAATCCATGCCAGGATAAATCCAGAGTCACTCCACCAGGGGAATGCATGCCAGGGTAAATCCAGAGTCACTCCACCAGGGGAATCCATGCCAGGATAAATCCAGAGTCACTCCACCAGGGGAATCCATGCCAGGGTAAATCCAGAGTCACTCCACCAGGGGAATCCATGCCAGGGTAAATCCAGAGTCACTCCACCAGGGGAATCCATGCCAGGGTAAATCCAGAGTCACTCCACCAGGGGAATCCATGCCAGGGTAAATCCAGAGTCACTCCACCAGGGGAATCCATGCCAGGGTAAATCCAGAGTCACTCCACCAGGGGAATCCATGCCAGGGTAAATCCAGAGTCACTCCACCAGGGGAATCCATGCCAGGGTAAATCCAGAGTCACTCCACCAGGGGAATCCATGCCAGGGTAAATCCAGAGTCACTCCACCAGGGGAATCCATGCCAGGGTAAATCCAGAGTCACTCCACCAGGGGAATCCATGCCAGGGTAAATCCAGAGTCACTCCACCAGGGGAATCCATGCCAGGGTAAATCCAGAGTCACTCCACCAGGGGAATCCATGCCAGGATAAATCCAGAGTCACTCCACCAGGGGAATCCATGCCAGGATAAATCCAGAGTCACTCCACCAGGGGAATCCATGCCAGGATAAATCCAGAGTCACTCCACCAGGGGAATCCATGCCAGGATAAATCCAGAGTCACTCCACCAGGGGAATCCATGCCAGGATAAATCCAGAGTCACTCCACCAGGGCAATGCATACCTGGGTGTGGCGGCGCGTTGGGGTTTCCCCGTCTCCTGCATCCCCAAAATGGCACAAACAGACTCCACCAGCCAGTAGAACAGAGGGAGTTTATTGCTTCTCCAGGACACAGCCCAGCACAGATGGAATCTGGTTCCAGGGCAGGCCTAGGATGCCTCAGCCCCCCTTGAGATGGGGGAGCCTGGGCCCCCAAATCCCAGCCCCCTTGCTTAGGCTGCCTCCTCCATGATCCCAGACAGAAACCTACCTCCCTCACTTCCAGCCCTGCCCCCAGCCAGGGCTCCACTCCCCTTCTTCCTCCACTCTTCATTGTTCCGCTCCCTGGGAGATATCTGGTCGGACAGGTTCGAAGCCCCCTTGCATAATGACTCATCCCCTGCCCTGCTGGGCCGTGCTGCAGACAGCAGCCAGTGGAGGTCACTCACAGCCCACTGCCCAGCATAGCAACTGGCAAGGTACCCCCCACTATGTCACACCGGGTAAATCCAGAGTCAGTCCACCTAGAGGAGGGACTGGAAGAGGGCATACCTGGGTAAATCCAGAGTCACTCCACTGGGGCAATGCATGCCAGGGTAAATCCAGAGTCACTCAACTGTGGGAGGGACTGGAAGAGGGTATAGCCGGTTATATCCAGAGTCACTCCACCGGGGGAGGGCATGCCAGGATAATTCCAGAGTCACTCCTCCAGGGGAATGCATGCCTGGGTAAATCCGGAGTCACTCCACCGGGGGAGGGCATGTCAGGGTAAATCCAGAGTCACTCCCCCAGGTCAGTATGCTGCTGTAAATCCGGAGCCACTTCTCAGTGTTCATTGGAGTGCGGCTGAATGTGCACAGGTGAGCTGAGAGCCGAGTCTGGAGGCGGGGGGCTAGAGAGCGAGGCAGCGGGAACAGCCCCCATAGGCCCTGGCGCACGCAGCGCTAGACAGACTGGCAGGCGGATCCACCCTGCTGCTCTGCCCATCTCCCCTGGGGAGCCCCCCGGGGCTGAGTTCACACCCCCGAGCAACGCGCCAGGGCACGTCTCCAGGGTGACAGTCATTCAGCTCTGGAGGGAAGGTCATGGAGAAAACACCTGGGGCCAGCGCCGGAGCCCCGCCCTGCCCTATGGCGTAGGCCCGTGCGGTACAGGCGATGTAGGTACCTCCCAGGCGGGGCTGATGGTCTGGCTGGCATCAGCCCGAGGGCAGAACTGCAGGGAGCAGCCCTGGGTGGGCGGAGAAGAACCGCCTACTAGCGCCTGGAGAGCCTTTCCCCTAGTGTTAGTGAATCCTCCCGGATGGGGTCAGTCTAATTTCCCCTCGTTTGACAGATGGGGAAACTGAGGCACAGAGCATGGCAGTGAGTCCCCCAAGGCCATCGAGAGAGCCAGTGGCAGAGCTGGGAATAGGTCCCAGCTCTCCCAGTTGCCTGCTGTAACCACTATGACATACTTCCCCTGTGGCTGGGAGCCCAGCTGTCCTCAACCTCGCTTCCCTCCTCCTGCACCCACTAGGCCATGCTCCCAGCACTGGGAGTAGATCTCAGGTGTCCTGACTCCAACCCCAGGCAAGGCCCGTCTCTCCCAGACCCCCGCGACAGATCCTGCGCTCCGGGAAGCTGCTCCACGCTCCTGTTCTCTTCCGAGGCCGCTTTCCTGGCTGACTTGCAGCCCCCCGAGCGTGCGACAGGAGTGCAAGTCCCGCCTCTCACACCTCTGCCCACTCACATTCCGGCGCCTGCCACCTGCCCTGGCTCGCAGCTCTGCCCAAGGGGGCTCTCTGCTTCCTGGCCCTGCCCCCGCCCCGGGGGTCCCAGAGACCAGCGCCTGGCAGCCAGGGGTGAGGGTTGGTGGGGGGGGCCTTTGCCAGAGCAACCCAGCCCCCGACAGGAGTGCAAGTCCCGCCTCTCACACCTCTGCCCACTCACATTCCGGCGCCTGCCACCTGCCCTGGCTCGCAGCTCTGCCCAAGGGGGCTCTCTGCTTCCTGGCCCTGCCCCCGCCCCGGGGGTCCCAGAGACCAGCGCCTGGCAGCCAGGGGTGAGGGTTGGTGGGGGGGGCCTTTGCCAGAGCAACCCAGCCCCCCAGT